GCCTTCCCTTTCAACTAATTTGTTTTAACAAAAATACTTTTTTGTGGCCACACAATGGAAGTGTTTCCTAGTGGCTAGAGCACTGGTTGGCCGCTGGCCTGCTGGATGACCTCGGGCAAGTCACCTCACTATTTTGTGCCTCAGTTTCCCCATCTTTGAAATAGGGGTACTGATGCTTACCCCCTTTGTAAAGCACTTTGAGATTTACTGATGAAACATGATATATAAAAGCTAGATATTATTACTGTTATTATTTTACAGGAACTTATTCTTGATTTGTCATCTCTTTTAATCCCCCACAAGACTTCCATAGTGCAGAATAAGTGGAATTGCGTATTTCAAACAGTAAACTCTTCTTGAGGGAAACTAATTGTTGGGCAGGGTGAAAGGCAGAAGTTTAAGAGCTGGTTAGAATTAATTATCGTTTTCTTGGCCTTGAAGATCCATTTTTATTTCCCAGCTCTGAACTAACACCAGAAGAGAAGAGTTAGGAAAAATAATAGGGAGTGAGAAGTGGTAGCACCAGGATCAGTAAGTAGCTAGCATTACCCCTTGGTCTGAATAGTTAGCCAATATTCAGAGCCTTGCTGGGTTGTTTCCATTGGGAGAAATATTGATTATGAGTCAGGTTATTCTTTGGTGCAGTCCTGTTTATTTACAAAGTACACAAAGTCCTGGTTCCCTGAACACAGTAGAAACAAACAGCAGGCAGTGTTCTTGCTCACAATTTCCAAGCCTGCCTTTCCAGCCAGTCCTGTGCCTCAGGGCCATGCTCACCACTGCTTCCAGGGCCGGCTCCAGCATTTCTGCCGCCCCAAGCAAAAAAAAAAAAAAAAAAAGCCGAGATCGGCGGTGGCAGTTCGGCGGCAGGTCCTTTGCTCCTAGAGGGAGTGAGGGACCTTCCGCCCCCGAATTGCCGCAGGTGCCGCCCCTCTCCCTTGGCCGCCCCATGCACCTGCTTGTTAAGCTGGTGCCTGGAGCTGGCCCTGACTGCTTCTGTGGCTTTTTGCTGCTTTTCTCTTTCTTTTTCGTTGCTTTCAACTCTCTGCAACGAATCAAAGACCCAGCCTCTGTGTTTGCAATCAGTCCCCAGGAAAAAAACAGCCAGCAGGGTTTTAGTGTCTGGTCAGCCTTCCATATGGCTAGTGCCTGGGACAGTGGCTTCCATTGTCTCCAGGTATCTTAGTCCATTAAATGAGCTTAATTGCTTCTGCTATTTAGCCTGAATGAAGGGTGGGTAGCACGCTCATCAGTTTTAACCAGATCAGTGGTAGTCTAGAGATCACAGACATGCCAATGGCAACCATTAACACCTTCCAGCCTAATAATATTTGAAGTCTGTTCTGGCATCCATTTGCCCTGAATCCGTGCAATTTTTGTGCACGCTTGAGTGGATACAGTTGACTCTCTTGGACTACAAACTGTGTAAAAGTGCACAACTATTATTTGCTTTGTTCCCTTTTCTGGTTGAAACAAGGGGAATGCCTGTGACCTTATTTGAATGCATACACAATCCGATGCTTGTCAGTGCATCGCCACTAGCTCAGAGATTAATTGGTCTGAAACCAGTTCACTGCTATGTAGATGATTCACACAGAGAAAACCGAACCAGAAGGAGAAGAGGGATTCATGGAAGGGAGTTCAGTAGACATGACAACTCCAAGAAGATCAGGTAGTGAAGGTGAGGCAAACTCAGTGAGAGATTTCAGTTTAAGCACAATGTTGAATATTACTAGGCTAGTCATGTATTTCCATGTCCCCATTGAGACTGGCAGTGTGAAATCAAATAAAGGAATGCTAGCCAAAAAGAACACTAGCCAGGATAATTCTGAGGTGACAACTCTTTGAAAGTCTTTCGAATACTTCTATGAAGAACTGGAGCACCATCAAAAAACCTTTAAGAGGTCAGGTTTACCCCGAATGGGAATTTTCTTTTTGCTTTGTTTCTAACCAGCTTGAATAAGGACAGTCAATTGATACCGCAGTCATAATACTGACATCGGGTTCTGTGTAGGGAATCCAGCAGCCTGGATTAACAATAGAAGTTCTGTTTTGTGTGGAATTGCAGGAATGAGGATTTTCCCCTCCAAATCACTTCTTAGAGTCTGTGATGCACAAACAGTTTAGCAACAGTCAATTCTGTGGCCAAGAATCTCAAACCACTTGTACAAATTCTTTTCCCAAACATATAAAAACTTCCCCCTCATCACCACCACCTCCTGCATGTCACTTAGCAAAAAACTACTAATACCAAATATGGTTTCTTGGTGGTAGTGGTTTGTTTTTTTGTATTGATGCTTGCTAGCTGTTTGCTCATACTGTACTCTTAATTTACATTATGTCCAGGTCCAGCCAACACTTACCATGACATTTATTACATTTAGTGGTGATCCATATTGACTAATTAGAAATCATCTATGCATGTCACATTGTATAAATTAATCTGGTCATTTAAGCTTTGATAACGTAATCATCTTGTTTCCCCTATCAAATCTTGAAACCATTGAAAATCTAATCATTCATTTACAGGACACCTTTCCTAGCTCCCACTGAGGAATGGCATACTGCGTAATGGCTCCTAGAACATACTAGTTCTAGTTTTGAAGACCCCAGAAAGCATGGAGGAAGGCAGCTCTCTACAAATTTGGCTATTCCTGTTTGCATGGGCTGCAGGGCATGGCCAAGGTTCAGGATGGCAGTTACAAGCTGATCCTGATTGTTTTAGAAACAAAATTAAATTTGCAGTTCCCCCAGTAACACAGTGTGATTTATTCGGGGACAAATCTGGATTGAAACAAGTCCAAGTTTCTCTTTTGTGAAGCAGAAGGGAAGTATATGTAGATACTATAGTCACCCATATGAGTAAGCCAGGAATGCATGAAGTGATTCATAAATCATTATAAAGACTACTAAAGTCTACTAAAAAGGATCCCTGTCTAGCTATAGAAAGTGGTGTATTATCTCTGGAAGGTTTTTTAGATGTTAAATCAAATGTGAAATCTTTAAAACGGTGCTTTTCATTTTAAGTCTTTGAAAAGGATTTTTTTCCCTGTTGTTGGCTGGCAGTTAAAGCCATTTTTCATTGATTAGTTTTCACAAATGAATTTTGAAAACACAGAGGATGATATCCCACGATTCTTTAAATAATAATGTAAAAAAAAGACCAGTCTGTGCATTGTTGTTGATCTCTGGCAGCAAATCAATAATCTTTCTATGTGAGTGCTATCCAGAAAACTAACCCCAGTCTTTCCTCTTTCTTGGGAATCCTGCAGTTGTAGCACTTTTTAAAAGCCCTCTTATATTTTCTTTCATAAACACTTACTGTATATTTCTTCTTTTGTTAGCCTCAATTGTTACTGCAAAACACACATACCTCGTCCCCACATTCCTTTGCATGTATTTTAAATATATAGTGCAGAAGTTACCTGCAGCAGCAAAAATATGTGACATGTTATAGACTGAGTTACTTAGTAAGGACTTCATGATTTATCCCATTACTGGTCGTATTTCTATAGTTTCTCCTGTACAGACACATCTTTTTAGTAATAAATTTGAGTTTGTATGTAAATATAGAATCAATACAGAGACAAACTAAACTGTAACTAGTAAGAAACAAAAGGGCTACTCAATGAAAGCAAATAGAACAAGCAGTAAAGCATACAAGGTTCACTATGAAATTTGCTATAATGTTAACATGAGCTATGGATCTGCCAAAAAATAGTAAATGGGTTCCATATAAGGTCCAAGTCATGTAGAAGATGTTTGACAGAAATCTCTGTTAAATCAGAAGAACTTGGGTGTTTTGGATTTCAATATGCTTGCTCATGTGATGACTTTATGCAGGAGTATTCTGTGGTAATATTACTATAATTATAGCTCCTACTGTATTATTTGTGAGACTATAGCCTCCTTCCATTGTTGCCTAGAAAACACTATTTGTTGCTGGGTAGGCAACATGGATTAAGCATGGTCATGTAAATCAAGGAAGCCAAGCCTTGTAACCTCTCTACACCTTGGCTTCCCATCTTCAATGGGAATATTACTTACCTACTTTGTAAAGAGCTTTGACATGTACAATTCAAAGGAGTAGTTGTTATTATTTCTAACGTGGCTTTAAACCCTTCCATGAAGCCCATAAATACATCCAGGTAAATAACCCATCCCCTTATTGTAGCAGAAGTAATAATATGTTTTAGGCCCTATCTTCTGAAGTGTTGCACTCCTTTTCCCAACTGAATCAAAGCATTAGCTCAGGAAATGCCCAAGGTTTGGGAGTTCATAAATTGGATCCAGATCCAAATTTTGATAAGCTCAGGCTCTTCTCCACTTGTAATCATTTAACACTGCAAGATCTTTATGAAAACTAACGTCTCTTTTATATTGGTTTAAGATAATTTATTTCAAAATACTTGAATATAAAGTGGAAAAATTTCCAAGAGCTGTTAAAGCATTATATGCAACAGAAAACAATACTTAATAAAAGGACTTGGGACTGATCCTATATTGCCTCTGCCCAGCATTTCTTCTTTTAGGCAATGCCCCACCACCCATCAACCAGTTTCTGTGCCACTTAGAAGCACCGGAATTGACTGATTGCAGCCCTTCTAAAAAGGAAGGACTGCCATTTGTCAACTGGTATCCCATTGCCTCCCCACAATACAGTCCTGCAATTTAGCAGTGGCCCTGATGTCAGGTACCCCATCTATCTATGTGACCCTCATCACTGGACTGTCTGAGCCTCTCCCCTGGAAGTTAAGAGGAGTTTGCCTGGTAGAAACTTCAGACTGGGTTTTCATTGTTGTTGATCAGGTGTAGTTTATCCATCTAATCTGAGAAACTGGAACACGACTTTTGTGAGTGTTTAGGACTGCACTCTATTCTTTTAGAAATCTGTATCAGTGCCCATTGTTAAAGCACTTTGGTGATTTAAATAATTAAAAACGTTTTTTTGCTCTTATTTTTTGTAGGCTTCATACTTCAATCTGTTTCATGATTTTCAGGTTTGCAGCTCCTGCTCCATCTCCCCACCATATCAGCCCCAGGAGAATTCCAGTTCCCCCTCCCATGATGCAGAGACGGACACCCCAGACTCCCCATCTCCTGCAGACTGCGGGAACACATCTGAAGACGTACCAGCCAATAACAAACCCCTCTTTTCAACCAAACAGCATCCACATCCAAGGTAAGAAAGTCATCTTGAATTTAGAAGCTGTTTTTATGTCGCTGTTTACTCATTAAACTTCCAAAAGGAGGAGAATGAAAGATTTTGAGAACTAGCACTGGGATTTTCAAAGGAGTGTTAAGGGGTGAGGCACCCAGTTCCCTTTGAAAATCAATAGGAAGTAGGTATTTAACTGCCTTAAGCTCCTTTCAGATTCTCAGCCTACATTTTCAGAATTCATCATCCTAAGTGAGGGGCTATGGGTTTCTGTGTGGAACTATTTTCAGAGCTGTAAATGAAGGACGGCTGAAAATAATTCTGTGTTGTGCATACCCAGTTTTATGCCCCTGATTGTCTCCCAGCTGCACACCCAACCTGTCATCAGGTTTTCAAGAAATCAGACATTTTTTCTCCCTTGCAGTTGTGGAGTGATGAAGGCCATCTTGCTCATTAACATACATGTTCTTTCAAGTTTGTGTTCTCATTTGCACTATGGTAACAGCTTCTTTCTCCCTCTTTGTTCAAACATAAGCCTTTGTAGCCAAGAAGAAAATTAACAGCAGCTGAAAATAAATTTTTACTGATGTTGAGTCAGAATGGTAATGACCTTAACATGTTGAAAATATGTTGACATGGACAGCTCTATTTCCTCTAAGTTAAACATGCAATTTCTCATTTTTGCATGCACAAATTGGGAGCATGTTTTTTTAAAATGTCACACTAAATGTTCTGTGGTCTGTCATTGCTAGAGCTGATCAAATGATTTAGAACAGTATTTGCAAACATCTGTTCAGAACATCCATACGATTCACCCACTTTCATGGCCTTTGACATTCATGAGCATTCATGCTTTCTTCACCTGACTGTTTAGCAAATGGCCTGCATGTGCACATGAACAAAGACTTTTGTTTGAACAGGAGTATTTGCAATCTCCTGACCATTACTCTCCAAGAGCAGAGCCTTGTTGCTTGCCAAGAAGGTGGTCAGACTCTGGATTAGCCTGATCTACTCTGGAATCTCATTTCACAGACAGACTTCTTTTAACTGTAAATACTGTCTCCAGCTTCATTCTGGGCTTTGAAAGCTGCACTGTGGCAGTTTCTAAGTGGAGATGAAGTCACTGATGCAGCTGGGGCCTGGACAGCTGATCTTTTTGAAAATCAGAACTAAGGTTTTAAACTAACAAGGCAATCTGGGAGCCAATGCTCACTCTAGTGTTCATATCAGCCCATCCTGTTGAGGAGGTGGGCCGCCATATTCTGCATATAGAGCCTCTGCAATACTTTCATATCTGGTGCCAGATACAATAAGTTAAAATAATCCAGTCTGGAGGAAATGAATGCCCGGATCATCGTGAGAGAGACAAGGTGGGTGAAGTAATATCTTTTATTGAATCAGCTTCTGAAATTGGTCCAATAATAGATATTACCTCACCCACCTTGTCTCTCTAATATCCTGGGATTGTCACAGCTACAACAACACTGCATGGATCATCATCAACATCCTTATCAGGGAGGAGAAGGTGAGGAAGAAACTGCCTTTTTATAGGCTGTACAGCGCCTTGCACAATGGGGCCCAGTTCCTCGATCAGGATATCTTGGCACTATCATCACAATAGAAATAACAAAATCTTCCTAGCAAGCTGCAGAAGGAACAAGGGGCAACAGCTGCTGCTTCTACTTCTTCCTTTTTTTTTTAAATTTTATTTGCCACTGATGGCACCTGATTGTCTAGGCTTGGTGATGATTCAGACAAGACCCCAAGGCGTTTTACTGATTTGAAGGATGGATGCCTTCAGTGAAAAGGAAAGACAAAGTCCAGTCTAGTTCTTTGAAGCATTTACCCTTTCTGACCAGCATCACCGTGATCTTATATGGGTTCAATCTGAGCCGGCTTTCTCTTCACCCAGGAGCTAATCTCTTGTAGGCATTGTGACATATGGTACTGGTTACATTTGTGGAATATGAGGTATACAACTGGATGTCATCAGCTTATTGTTGGGTGTTCTTCATTAGCTAATAAGCTTGTCCACTTATGGCTTATCCAGTACAAAAGCATTGTTATAAGAGAAATGGACTAATTATTCCACTAGATATCCAGGTATGCCAAAGCAGCTGTCATAAATTCATAGAGTTTAAGGCCAGAAGGAATAAATAGATCATCTAGTCTGACTCTCAGTGGACTTGGAGTGGCTTTACTCCACTTTTCTAACTCAGGGGTGGTCAAACTTTTTGGCCTGAGGGCCACATTTGGGTATGGAAATTGTATGGCGGGCCATGAATGCTCACAAAATTGGGGTTGGGGCTGGGACTGAGGGGTTCGGAGGGCGGTAGGGGGCTCAGGGCTGGGGCAGGGAATTGGGCACAGGGGGAGGCTCAGGGGTACAGGCTCCGGGCGGCACTTACCTCAAGCGGCTCCCGGAAGCAGCGGCATGTCCCCTTTCCAGCTTCGAAGTGGAGGTGTGGCCAGGCGGCTCTGTGCGCTGCTCTGTCCGCAGGCACCGCCCCTGCAGCTCCCATTGGCCGCGGTTCCTGGCCAATGGGAGCTGCAGGGACGGCGCTTGGGGCGAGGGCAGCATGCAGAGCAGAGCCCCTGCCTGCCCCTACATGTAGGAGCTGGAGGGGGGCCATGCCGCTGCTTCCAGGAGCTGTGCGGAGTGGCCCCCAACCCTGCTCCCCAGCAGGAGCTCAAGGGCCGGATTAAAATGGCTGGTGGGCCAGATATGGCCCATGGGCTGTAGTTTGCCCACCCCTGTTCTAACTCCTCCAGTCCCCAAGACTCTGGAAGCTTCCAGGGGCTAACAAGGCTGTCACTACAATAACTGTCATTAGTGGATAATGGTCTCCAAGAGGCCCTGCTTCTGACAAACTCCCAGCCCATCCTGGAATACCCCTTATGGCTTGAGGGGCCTGAAACCAGCTCAGCATTTTCTGTGGTAGGGAAATCCTCAGCAGCTGCCTTATAGCATCGAATCCTCCTTGCGCCTCTCCAGCAGCACAAAGAGCATTTAAGAGAGACCAGAGACCTAGTCCATTACGTGCATTGTTTATTAGAGATGGGCCTGAGCCAAAAATCCCAGTTTTGAAACATCCAGCATATGGAGGAACTTTGGGTTTGTGGGTTTGAATCCAACTCAGGATCCACACTGTGCAGCTTTCTTCTTTCACTCACTCTCTTTCTCATGGCCTGGACCAAACCCCATGATTGAGACACCCCCAAGCTTTGGGGGCCAGGACATGTTTCCAGATCTTTTTCAGACCCACCTCTGTTATTTACTTTATACTTTTGGCCTTGCTCAGTAAAGTTTGTGTTTGTTGGAAATTTTAATTTGTCAGTGGGTTTCATATAGGAATCAATAGCAACTCTTATTTGAGGCAGTGCTGAGCCTTGCACTTAAAGCAGGTATCAATGAGATGTGGGTGTGATTTCATCAGCTATATATTCAAGAGAAACTGTAAGTTACAGTAACAATGTTACAAATGTAAATTATGTTTTTATTTCACATGTTAAGTAACTTTTTGTTATTATACAGTCTGTCTTTTAGCATGGGGCGCTGTTAGCTGGGTACTCCCTCTCACTTCAGCAAGAGTTATACACAGTTATATCACACTCCCTGCACTACACTGAAAGCTTTATCCTGTAAGTCTGATCTACTGGACTAAACTCTCCCTTTGGCATTTCAAAAAAAAAATTTTTTTTTTCAAGAGTTCACAGCTAAGTTTCCCTGTAGCAACGCAAGGATTTCAATCTTCCTAAGTCACGTCATTATAATGTATTAGAAGAATACCATGGAGCTACTTCATCAGCCTGGGCTATTTCGTATATATCAGGTGGCTGTGGGAAGCTCTGTTAGCCTCGGCCTTCTGCAGTTCATAACCTGCCTTTTCATGATTTAGAGGGCGGTAACTATAGCCACTGAACTTTCAGCTCAATCTGCTACCAAACAATGGTTACATTTTTCTGTCTTAATATGTAGTCTTAAACTTGTCAGCTCAGTTTAAATTGGCTGTACCAAGGAAGAAAGAACTTCATTGCCAACAAGCCTCTTGAACAAAACAAGTTGTAAATGGTTTCTCTTGCTGAAAACTTGAACATCTTACAAACTCATGGAAATCTCAGAGTGCTAACTCTTAAAAAAGAAATGATGTGGCAGGTCCAAGATTGACTCGTCTTATATACTCTGTCAGCTACTTGCCTTGTGGTATTGCTGTTTCTTAGAAGAACATTGGCAGCTGTTGAGATCTCATGCCTTGTTTCTGGGGATATCCAACATCAGAACACTACAGAGCTTTTCCTTAAAGAATATTGTTTGAGGGAGTAAATATTCCCTTTCCTTCCACGGGAAAGATAGTCATATCTGAAGACTTTCTCTTGTGAAATAAAAAATATGTAGAATTGCTTGCTGCATGTGGGTTTGGAAGTGCCTACATGGCGTTTAGGCAACGTATTGAGCTGTGCACATGAAGCATAATTATTGTGAAGCAGAAATTATTTGTATACTATTGATAGCACCGAGAGACCCCACAACTAGGTCAGGGCTCCATTGTGCTAGGTGCTGTAAAGATAGTCCTGACACCGGAGAACCTACAGTTATAGGCCCTGATCCTGTGGCTAGATCTGCTCTGTGAATCCCTGTTCCCGTATGGAGCCCTCTTGAAGTCAATGGGGCTATTGTAGACAAAGGATATGTCTACACGGCAACTAGACACCCACAGTCGGCCCATGCTAGCCAATTCGGGCTCCAGGGCTTGGGCTGTGGGGCTGTGTCATTGCTGTGTAGACTTCCGGGCTCAGGCTGGACCCCAAGCTCTAGGACCCTGTGGGGTGGGAGGGTCCCAGAGCTTGGTCTCTAGCCTGAGCCTGGAAGTCTACACAGGAATGAAATAGCCCCATAGCCTGAGCCTGAGTCAGCTGTGGGGTTTTTCTTTGCTGTGTAGACATACCCAGAAAGTTCCATTAGCCCGGGTGCAGTTGCAGGACTGGGGCCTTAGTTTAAGACCAGACATAATAGATTAAAGAAA